AAAATTATGCAAAGGCTTGAAACTCAACGTGTTTACACCTCAAACCTATAATCCTTTAATCAAGACCCAACCCAAGCTCAGCCCAAACCATCGATAAAACCCTAGTTTCCTTTCTCTTTTAAAGACGATGAACAGACAAAAGTGGGGACGGCAGACGAAACAAAAAGACAGAAAAAAAGACTTCTCTCCTTCTCTCTCCCTCTCTCTGGACTCTTCTCCTTTCTAAAAGAACCCTGGCCGCAAGCCCTCTTGGACTCCGATCTTCACCATCCTCTTGCCGATCATCACTCTCATCACCATCACCCACGCCAACCACCAAGCAACTAGAAAGAAAGAGGAGAAAAAGTTCAGATTTGGAGATCTTGATTTGGTTTTTGGAAAAAAGAAGAGAAACCGAAAAGAAATTGGGAGGTGGAGTGGATCCGGTCTCAGTCTCGCTCCTTCGCTGGAAGATAGATCAGGGGAAGATTCTGGGTTGGATTAGAGCAGAATAGTGAGATTGGAGATTCGATTCCTGGCAGGCTTACCGACCAAATTTTGGCGTTTGCTTTGGGACAATTGTTGCTCGAATCTTGGCTAGGTATACTCGAAAACAGAGGGATTTTGGGAAGGGTAGTGAAGGAGACGAACGGAGCCTGGTCCCGTGGGTGGGATCCCTCCCTTCTGATCTGGAGCTGCCTTTCTTCAAAAATTCCACCCCTTGGTTGTTTGCATTTGATGTCCTGTAAATACCTTGATGGTTGATGCTTGAATTCGTATGAGATTGCGAAGAAATGAATGACTATTTCGTAAATAGCTATTTTCTTTCCTATAGTTCAGTGACCGGTTGCTGGGATTTGGAATTGTGTAGGCCATGGGATTTTCTCTTGCTTGAAATCGAGTTTGGCAGAATAAAATCCTAAAGTTTGTTTTTTGTTTCAGATTTGATCTGTTTTTACCCATATTCATAGACGGGTTATGATTTTGGGCCAGGTAGACCCGATCCAATCCAGTAGATTTATATAAAAAAAAGAAAAAACTAAAGAAAAAGCTAAAAAAGGGTAAAGGAATAAAAAAAATATATAAATATAAATAAAATGATTAGTTGATTTTTGGTAATTAGTTTATTATGTGATTTATGAAATTAATTAATTTTAATTAAAGTAAATTAATTATATTTAAATTAACTTTAATTAAAATGAATTAATTATATTTATTAATTTTAATTTA